GGAACTTTCTGTGACGTAATATAGTAAGGCGGGACAACTAGCTAATTTGATTCATATAATAATACAATGTTACATTTAGCTTGAGTGTCTGGGTGTATTAACCACTTAGGACTTAGGTAATTGATTCCATATGGTATTAGATCACTTGATATCGATTAGATGCATTTTGGGCTGACTGCTGCGTTTCTTTAATATTCTGTAACTTGCCTTCTGTCAACCTCTGAGGTGACCACCTTCCCCTTACCCCAGAAAGGTGTGAGGGGACCGGGCGGGGGTAATGTGTTTGGGTCGGTGACGGTCCTCACTCTGTGTTAGAGAATTTTCCCTCCTATATGTTGCTGTCTTGGAACATTGCATAGCTCCTGACGACACACGAGACTGCGAAAGATCTAGAGCTAAAGATTCCCATCCCCATGTGTCTTGTTCTGCATTGTATTGCATGTGTATATTTTACCTACATATATATCATATGAAAATAATTCAAAATTAGAGCATGTTCTCGGCAGTCATGAGGAAAATATGATATAAAACTTAGTCATGGAAGAAAATTCCTGACTAATCCAAATGGTGTTGGTGGTGGAGTCCCTAGATGGTTGTAGAGGTTGTGGTGGAGTCCCTGGGTGGTTGTAGAGGTGGTAGTGAAGTCCCTAGATGGTTGTTGACGTGGTAGTGGAGCCCCTGGATGGTTGTAGAGGTGGTAGTGGAGTCCCTGGATGGTTTTGAAGGTAGTGGAGTCTCTGAATGGTTGTAGAGGTTGTGATGGAGTCCCTAGATGGTTGTTGTAGTGCCTTGGATGGTGGTGGAGGGGGTCTTTATAGTGGGGGTTGGAAGGGTCTGAGTATTTCCTTCCTCAAGACCCGGTCTCATATTCTTCCAGTGACAGAAAGGAAGTATTACAGTCTTAAGAAGTGCTAAGAACTACACAAAAAAGCAGACTCATGTGTCTGGTGTTCTAGACCAAGATGATGGGAATGAGGAAGCAGACTTCAGGTTCACTCGCGGAGTTCAGCAGTTTAAAGGTTGCAACGGTCGAGATCTGAAGGAAAATAAGTGTAAGTCAGTGCTCAGTCACTGCTCACTCATTCTCAAAAACTGGCATTAATGTTTATAAATACCACCAGTGTAAATAAAGGAAATGCGTAAACCAGGAGTCAGCGAATAAATCCCGGAACGGGTGGGGGTTTGAACCCATGGCAGATGAGTCCTAAAAGTTACAGGCCAATGCTTTTTAGGACTCACTGCCATGGCTTCAAGTTTCACTCGTTGGGTAGTTTGTTTTCAGTCGTAAGTGAGCGAGACGAAGCTCCACTCGACAAACAAGAGGAGGAAAAGCTACATGCCAGTAACACTAACTTCACACAATATAAAAAGTCGCTGAGCAGGTGTTAAGAAACAATTCCCAGATTTATGTAAATCCTTAAATTATCACAGCCTTGGTGCTCTGGGGATGCCAGTAAAGTGATCAAGGATCGTGTCTACATAATGCCTTGTTTACATATATTTTTAAGCGTTCGTTGACTTGTACAATCTCAGTTTTCAAGCAAATATTTACATATCATATAAAAACTCTACAGTCACCAACCACCTTACTGACCGCAGGGTATTCCCGTTCGATATAGATGGAGGTGCTCCATGTGACGTGGGTTCCCGCTGAGATGGGACAGGTAGTCTCCTGGCAGCCGTCAGTGTCAATACCGGGCCATGGAACATCAACATTCCCTATTTGGGCTGTTGCCTCTATCTTCAGCGTTTCCGAGGCCCGGCCTATAGAGTACAGATAAACATGGAATGTATGAGATCTGTAAATGTACAGTAACTTCTGTGTTACTGGTTTAAAGGATCTGTGTAAAATGGACATCAAGTTGTGTTTATTACACTGAGACTATTCATAATATATAATACATTTTCAAACAAAAACGTCAGTGGCATAAACCGACTCATATTTGTTAATAAAGTAAAAATTATTAGAGTACTGAATATTTCGGCCAAATGCGTGATAGGCAGGATTTTGACGTAATCCACAATTTCAAAATTTTAAACGAATTAGCTAAATTTCTTAACCATGTACTCGACCCCTTCTTAGCTAAATTCTCGAACACTCGCAAGAGTTCAGCAGTTAAATAGAGTACACTCGTCTATATGACTTGATGATGCTGAGTGCTGGTGCTGACTTTTTTTTTTTTTTTTTTTTTTTTTACGTTTGAAAATATTGTCATTGTCATAGAAAGCAAACTGGATCAATACTAGTGTTAACTACTACTTTCTTTGTCCAAAAATAATTTCTCTCACCAAATTATGTGTTGTTATTAAGATTTTTTGTTTCACTGATGAATATTTTCTCCAGAAAAAACTGAAGTATTATTGGCAACTCATTCGCACTGGTTCTGACCAACATATACACCGAAAACTTTGAAATTAATGCATAGTTAATAGAAACTTCATAACAAGGTATAGAACAGATATGCTAATGACATTTTTACTATCTGGGAAGAGAAATGGAGACCATTTGATGCTCTGGAAGTGTCTCTTTCCAGTTTTTATTTATAATCAGTGTGAATTCATCGTAAGAATTCACTGTTTGCTCTACTTCAATCATTAGTCCGACGGGATTAAGTGGACTGCCTTCTTCGGATTGTTTCTACGCGCAGTCCACGACTCCCAGACCAAGAACAAGAAAACAGCATCATCTTCCAGGGAAAAGCGAAAGCCAGTCAACTCTAAATGGTAATTTCTATACAATATAAATATCTACAAGAACATTAAAGCTGTGATCCCCACCTATAAAAAAATGTATCTCATTATTCAATTAAAATGTAAATTTAAGCGATGGTAATATATTTAATTACTCATTTATGTACTCAGTGCTCATTAAAATCCTCACACCTGCTGGAACCAGTCTTACACATGAGAGAAGAAAAAATTTAAGCACTGAAGTAATGGAGTTCACGAGCTCAGGAAGATGTGCACAAACATATCAGCAGCTTTCCAACATTCGGTTTTTAGGCCATAAGATTGATAGTAAGAATAGAAAAGGAAATGATTGGCGAAGGATAAAGCAGTGAAAAAATTGTGGGCTGTTAAGAGACAGAGAGTGGTAAGAATAGTTAAGTTGCCTGACCACTCTGAGGGAACGTTGGAAGTCTTTTCTGTCACATAACAACAAGAATATTATTAACTGAGATAACATGGAGTAAAGATGGAATTATAGACAGAAACTAGCTGAGAGGTTTTCGGCACAGTTGTCGCCCAACAAAAACTCAACCATAAAATCTAACACGAGGTTGTAATTCAGTAACTGCGTGACTATATAAAATAAACTTAGAGTAATATTAAATGGCAGATTATTTGCAAGTAAATTCACCCTTAATTTTCAGGTAAATTCTCACACACACACACACACACACACACACACACACACACACACACACACACACACACACACACCACACACACACACACACACAGTGGAGACAGTGTAGTGGGTCACAAGCGCCAGGCTCCGAGGATTTAGTGCTTTTAGGGCGTGTTTTAGCAGCTAGAAGCAACCAGTGTTAGTGACAACGTCAGTGAACAACCCTACAAGTGATAACCAATGTATTAGAAAAAATAAATAAAGTAAAGGCGAGAGAAAGCCTGAAATTATACAACAAAATTTCAAAGTGCCAGTTCGTTGAGGCCTAGTGGGCACTGTTGCCACATTTTTTACATATATACAAAGTACAAAGCGAGTGCTAAAGAGAAAAGACCAATAGAATTAAGAGAGGGTGGTAACGACAAAAGTGAATGTATCACACAGCGTGAAAAAGCTAGCCCGAAAGGGGATTATATATGTATACATAAAATTATATAAGCAAGGTGGTGGCAGCAGTAGGCCTGAGGGAGTAGGCGCCATAAAAAGGTTTGGGTTCATCACAAATAAGTAGTGTACTTACCAAAAGTGGAGTGAAAATATAAAAAAGTAGCAGTTTTAAAGTGATAAGTGTGGTAAATGAGGACTCAAAAGGGCAAGAGAATAAGTATAGCCTGAAGAACTCAGCGGCGGAAGGCGAGGTGTACGAGGCATCGTACAGCGAGCATCGTACAGCGTGCTTCGTACATCAGGCATCTGGTGGACGTCCCCTTGAGTAACGTACAAATCCACTTGTTTGTGGTGGCGGGAAGTCTGAGGGTTGAGCCGGCCCGGGGACATGGTAGCTGGCTATCTTAACCCTGCTCCGAGACGATTATCATACACATAACACCTAGCAGTAGTAGAAGATAAAAATTTGTAGGAGCAAGGATAATGGGTCTAAAGCCCTGACAAACAGTTTCGAGAGATAATGTTTTAGGACACAAAGGACAGTACAATCTGAGAAGCAAGTATTGGGTGCAACTGTAGTAAAAAAGGGTAGTGCATAACTGGGATGATAGAGTGACTGGTTAAAACACACGCTGTATTATAATTATTAGAATACTCTCAGTGTTAATGGTATCTCATTAGTATACGGGTACACAGAAGTGAGTTGTATTTCTGGGTCATATAAACAACTGACGTGCTCACCACACACATCACGAACGCGCGCACACACATACACACTCCCCTACTCGCTCGCTCGCTCACTCACTCACTTCTCTCACTCCATTTCTTTTTTTTTTTTTTTTTTTTTTTTTTTGTTTTTTTTTTTACACATGGTTTGACTAGGTTAAGGATCCTAGCTTTATTGACAAGCTATTTACTGGTAAGGATTCCTAACTTTATTGACAAGCTAAGAGCTGTTACCTCATTCAGCTCATTTGAAGATTTTTATTGTAGGACATACAAGTAGGGAACAGGGATGAAGTTGGAGCCATCTGTGGGCCAGATTTTCATTTGATCAACTGATGTTATCTCGTTGCATATTTATGATGAACCGAATGTGATTCCCATACTCGAGTCATCCTGGGTATGTATGATCTCAGTGGAGTGTGTTCTGGAGAAGGGTACAGCCAGAGTGAAGTTGCTGCTTTATGCCGTCTTGAGGATAAAAGCTTGTTTCGCGATGTCCTCGATGTGAATCCAAGTGTGGTATTTTGACAAATATTGGCCTTGTACATAACAGTAATGGCCACACACATCCATCCTATGTTGAAGGCTCTGCTGAAATGACAGATCCATACCAGGATGGGTCCAGGCGAGAGATGAGACGTCTTGCTCTTCCCCTTTTCTTTCTCTTACTCTGTCAAGCAGTCGCAGATAGAGGGGGGACAGGCAAAACTAAGGAATGTGGTGCATACTCAAGGTGTGTGCGTTACTTGGCCTCGTACGTATCTTGCATCCCCTACTGTAAAGCAGATGCGAGATACGGCGATGTGCTGTTAGCTGCCTGGCTGCCTTGTTTGCTAGATTTTCATCATTGGTTCTCTTGGTTAGTGTGGAGTCAAATTTTCACCCCAAGGATTTCAATTTCTTCTCCAGGTGGCCTACTTTCCTCCCCATCTTCCGTACTACTGCTTACCAACTTTTCAATCTTGGTGCCTAGAGACGATCTCATTGTGCGTTTTGTAGGTGGCAATGTTACTCGCTTCTATTTCCCCAATGTGATATAGCTCTCAGCTGGTGTTTGATGTTGGCTTGTGAAGCGGCAATTATTCTAGTGGTTTTGGGAAGTGTCTGGGGTCAGGAGTCTGACATTGGCATGGGATTTGGGATGAGTGTTGTAGGTGTTGTTGGAGTCTTTCATTGCAGTGTACCTGTCAATGCAGGGAGGGTTCGAGGGCCACTTTAGGTTGTAGTGCGGAGGGGGCGGGTGGTAGTCTAGGGTGTGATTCTGGATGGGTTGCTCTGCTGGTGTATGGTTGAGGTGTGAGGATAGGCCATGGGGCGAGAGAGAGCGAGAGGGAGAGAGAGCGAGAGCGAGAGAGAGAGAGAGAGCGAAAGAGCGAAGAGAGAGAGAAAGCGAGCGAGCGGGAGAGAAGCCGCGAGAGGAGAGAGAACGAAGAGAGGAAAGTGAGAGAAGAGAGCGAAAGAGAGAGAAAGAGAAAGAGAGCGCCCGCGAGCACCGCGCGCGCGAGCGCGAACGCAGCGACCGCGAGCGAGAGCGCGACCGCGCGAGAGAGAACGAGCGAAGAGGATAGAGCGCGCGACGAAGTGAGGAAAGAGAGACAGAGAGAGAAAGCGCTAAGAAAGAGAGAGAAAGAGAGCGAGAACGAGAGAGAAAGAGACCGAACGCGCCCACGAACCAGCAGCGAGAGAGAACGCGAGAGGAAAGCGGCGAGACAAGAGATCTCCCGCTATCTCTCGACCCTCGCCAGAGCGAGCCTATCGCCCCGCGCTTCACCTCTCTCTCTCCCTCTCTCTCCCGCGCGCTCCACTCGCTCTCCCTCCCTCTCTCTCTCTCTCTCTCTCTCTCTCTCTCTCTCTCTCTCTCTCTCTCTCTCTCTTCTCTCTCTCCTTCTCTCTCTCCCTCTCTCTCTCTTCTCCCTCTCTCTCCCTCTCTCTCTTCCCTCTCTCTCTCCCTCTCTCTCCCTCTCTCTTCTCTCCTCTCTTCTCTCTCTCCCTCTCTTCTCTCCCTCTCTCTCTCTCCCTCTATCTTCCCTCTTTCCTCTCTCTCCCTCTCTCTTCTCCCTCTCTCCTCTCTCTCACCTCTCTCTCTCTCCCTCTCTCCTCCCTCCATCTCTCTCCTCTTCTCTCTCCCTCTCTCTCTCCCCACTCTCTCTCTCCCTCTCTCTCTCCCTCCTTCTTCCCTCTCTCTCTCCCTCTCTCTCTCCCTCTCTCTCTCCTTCTCCCTCTCTCTCTCCTCTCTCTATCCCTCTTTCCCCCCCTCCTATCTCCCTCTCTCTCCCCTCTCCCTCTCTCTCTCTCTCCCTCTCTCTCTCCCTATCTCCCTCTCCTCTCTCTCTCCTTCTCTCTCTCAC